TGCATGCAAGGCAAGCGCTCTACCACTGAGCCACCTTCCCAGCCCGTAGTATGACACATTTTATGGTGTGCTTTATATGTAACTAGCACTGTGCTAGTTTTATTTCCCAACAACCATGTTAAATGGGTATGGTGTTCAAGTTACAGCTGAAGAAATTGATATCAAGGGAGGAAGAGTGACTTGCCTACAGACAAGAATGAAAATGTATGCTAGGGGCTGGGAATGTGGCTTAGTGGTGGAGTGCTTGCCTTGCATGCATGAAGCCCTGGGTTCCAGCCCTCAGTACCACATAAATTGAAAAAGCTGGAAGTGACACTGTGGCTTAAGTGGTAGAATGCTAGCTTTGAGTACAGAGAGATTCAGAGAGAGAGCCCAGGCTCTGTGAGTTCAAGAACCAAGACTGGCAAAAAACAACAACAAAAAGTATGTTAGGACTGTTAATGAAATCCAGGGAATTCTAGGGCCTGCACTTTTATCCCACACTCTGACTTAGTAATGAAAAAGCAGGGTCAAGGGGATGGCATTGCAAATTGAGTTCTCTGTTTCCCTTTAGAGGAGAAAGGAGGAAAGAAAAGGAAAAAGCAGAAACAGAAGCTCCTGTTCAGCACCTCAGTTGTCCATACCAAGTGACACTACTCGCCCAGGCTACCTTCTCCATCTGATTTTTTTCCTGCGCTTTTGTTTTGCTGCTGTAATTTTTAAGTATTTGAGTTTGAACAGATTAACTTGGGGCGGGGGGAGGGGGTTTCCACAATGTGAGGGGAAACCAAGAAAATTTTAAATACAGTGTATTTTCCAGCTTCCCGTCTTTACACCAAAATAAAGTATTGACACTCACGAGATCTCTTCCTGCCAAGGTTTTTAGTTCGCTGCCAGGTTAGTCTTTCTGTCCCATGTGTAATGAATTTTCTTTACCAAACAAGTTTGAATCCCTTCAGTGTCCCTCAGGACTGCTCTGCTGTGGCATCCTGTGCTGGGCTGTCCTTGTCACTCAGCACACCTATCTGAATGGGTAACTCTTCCCTACCTGCTCAGTTCTCCTTGTTAAAGAAAGAGGGATGCAAATAAAATGGATTTAGGACACACAGCTTGAATTTAAGTTTTTCTTCTAACAAATGGCCCTGCTGTGGCCAGCTGGATGTGGTAGGTTGTCCCTAGTATTTGTATTCACAAGGTGTGTTGGGGGAGGAGGGTTTCCTGTCTCATGAACCAAGTTTCATATGAGTAAGCTAAGCTATAATTCTCTTGGGTCCGGTCGTGGGGCCTAAACTCTGGGCGTGGGCACTGTCCCTCAGCTCTTCAGCTCAAGGCTAGTACGCTACCACTTGAGCCATAGCACTACTTGCAGCTTTTTTTTTTCTGCTTATGTGGTGCTGAGGAATCGAACCCAGGGCCTCTGGCATGCAAGGCAAGCACTCTACCATTGAGCCACCTTCCCAGCCCCTAAGCTATAATTCTCATTAAGAAAGCTCTGGGTGCCAGGTGCCAGTGCTCACGCCTGTAATCCTAGCTGCTCAAGAGGCTAAGATCTGAGGATCATGGTTCAAAGCCAGCCCGGACAGGGAACTCTGAGACTCTTATCTCCAATAAACCACTAGAAAACCGGAAGTGGCATTTGTGGTTCAAGCAGTAGAACACTAGCCTTGAGCTGAAGAGCTGAGGATAGTACCCAGACCCAGAGTTCAAGTCCCACAACCAACCAAAAAAAAAAAAAGAAAGCTCTGGGATCTGCCACCCTTCCCACCAAGCCTTTTTTAAGTGATAGTGGCCTGAGATGGAAGAATAGGAGTCCAGCACGTGGGGAGAGCAAGTCAACAGCAAGTAGGTTGCCTACTCTTCGCAGCTTTCCTTGATTTCAGCCAAATTTGAGTGATATCTTCTTTTACTGCTTAATAAAGTGACCTCTAACAGAATGTGTAAGCAAAAAGCTGTGTAACTTGGAATAAATTACTTACCCACGCAAATGTAAACTTTTTAAGTTCATTACAGATTAACTAGACACACAACTCTTTTTTTTCTTTTTGGGGTCTGGTTGTGGGGCCTGAACTCTGGGCCTGGGCGCTGTCCCTCAGCTCTTCAGCTCAAGGCTAGCGCTCTACCACTTGAGCCACAGCGCCACTTCCGGCTTTTTTCTTTTTGCTTATGTGGTGCTGAGGAATTGAACCCAGGGCCTCATGCATTCAAGGCAAGCACTCTACCACTGAGCCATCTTCTCAGCCCGACACACAATTTCTTAAAATTAAGTTAGTAACAGCTGGACTGATGAGTTGTGATGGACTGATATCTTTTCTGGTGTCAGGCCTAATGCTGGGCTTAGGTTTAACTTGCCATTTCTGGGAAATCCTGAATCAGCAACTCCTGGAGAAATTTTTCCAGCCCGGAATTAAGTGTCATATGGAAGCAGAAAAGTACAATGCTAAGAAATGTGTAAGGGGCTATGAGTGACATCCTTTTATAGAAATGTTATTAGGAAGAAGCAGATCAAACCTGACTTCAAGACTTACTCCTAATTTCTTTGTGGCCACAGGAAAAAAGAGAACTGTACAAAACTAACTGAAGTTGGTAGCTACTTGAGGGCTATGTAATAATGAGGTCAGGTGAGGCCATCTCCCTCTCTTGGGCCATTTCCCAAGTGCCAACATTTCATTCCATTTTTTCCCCCCATCTCAAAATAATTTTTTTTTTGGTCCGGTTGTGGGGCCTGAACTCTGGGCCTGGGTGCTGTCCCTCAGCTCTTCAGCTCAAAGCTAGCACTCTACCACTTGAGCCACAGCGCCACGTCCAGCTTTTTTCTTTTTGCTTATGTGGTGCTGGGGAATCGAACCCAGGGCCTCAGGCATGCAAGGCAAGTGCTCTAGCACTGAGCCACCTTCCCAGCCCCTCAAAATAAATTACTATGTTACACAAATTGTTCTTACAAATCACATGAAAATTTTATTAACTTTTAGAAAACTTCTGACTTAAGAGTTTACCTTTGAAGCTGGGCGCCGGTGGCTCACACCTATAATCCTAACTACTCAGGAGGCTGAGATCTGAGGATTGTGGTTCAAAGCCAGCTTGGGCAGGAAAGTCTGTGAGACTCATCTCCAATAAAAACCATTAGAAAACCGGAAGTGGCGCTGTGGCTCAAGCGGTAGAGCACTTGGCTTGAGCTGAAGAGCACAGGAACAGCGCCCAAGCCCCACGACTGATCCAAAAAAAAAAGTTTACCTTTGAATATTCTCTTAATTCCTGCCAAGCTGACAATACTACTTACTACTATATAGAATGTGTTATATAATATAACCACCTGAACATCATCTAAGAATTGTTTTAGGGAACTAATAGACCTGGCTCCTAAACTAACCAATAGTTTCATCTTTATGAGTAGGAAAATATTTTTTTTTGTTTTTTTATTGTGAAAATACTGTACAGAGGGGTTACAATTACATGGGCAAGATAATGAGTACAGTTCTTATCAAGCATTGTAGTCTCCTCCTTTGTTTCCCCTTCCCATCCCTTCCCATCTCCCCCCCCCCCCCCCCCCCCCCCGCCCCCAGGAAAATATTTTAATGACTCACGGTTATGTAAAATTCCATCAAGTTTTAAAAGTGGTGTGACTTAGTCAGCACTGAATAAACAGATCAGTGAGTGTAACAAATATCCAAAGATCACGCCACACCAGCTGTCAGAAAACTTGTCATCATTGTGGAATTCGCTTGACAACTGACTTCTCTCCAACTAGTTAACAGTCTAGATTTTATTTTATTTATTTATTTATTTTTTGGTCCGGTCATGGGGCCTGAACTCGGCCTGGGCGCTGTCCCTCAGCTCTTCAGCCCAAGGCTAGCACTCTACCACTTGAGCCACAGCGCCACTTCCGGCTTTTTTCTTATGTGGTGCTGAGGAATCGAACCCAGGGCCTCGAGCATGCAAGGCAAGTACTCTACCACTGAGCCACCTTCCCAGCCCAACAGTCTAGATTTTAGATAAAGATTAGTGAGCAGGGTGCCAGCGGCTCACGCCTGTAATCCTAGCTACTCAGGAGGCCGAGATCTGAAGATCAGGGTTCAAAGCCAGCTCGGGCAGGAAAGTCCATAAAACTCTCCAATAAACCACCAGAAAACCAGAAGTGGCCCTGTGGCTCAAGTGGTAGAGTGCTAACCTTGAGCTGAAGAGCTGAGGGATGGTGCTCAGGCCCAGAGTTCAGTTCCCATGACAAAAAAAAAGGGGGGCTGGGAAGGTGGCTCAGTGGTAAAGCGCTTGCCTTGCATGCCTGAGGCCCTGGGTTTGATTACCCAGCACCACATAAGCAAAAATAAAAAAAGCCAGAAGTGGCACTGTGGCTCAAGTGGTAGAGCACTAGCTTTGAGCTGAAGAGCTGATGGACAGTGCCCAGGCCCAGAGTTCAGGCCCCACGACTGGACCCAAAAAAAAAAAAAAAGTGAGAACCAATGTGCAGACCATTGTCGATAGAAAATGACAAACACATAACATCTTTACTTTTTAGTCATTACAAATACATAACAGAATAGAAGTGTAATCATTTCAAGTGATGAAGAGGCAAACCAAACTTCAGAGTACAGAACTGTGTTGCACACTAAATGAAGAGGCAAAGTTTTTATTTTGCTCTATCAACAGTCCTTAAATTAAGCAAACTTGAAATACTATATGCTCATTCCTAACAACTTAGAATTTAAGGTTTAGGAATGAAAAGTGGCTTGCTTGAAGAAAGCATGTCACATAAATAGCTAAATATCTTGATTGGAGGAAGGGACTTTACATGGTCTTGTACAGTAAGCATGCTGCAAAGTTAAAATGAGTGGAGAACATCTGTACCACTGAAGTGAGATTAGCCCTTCTTGCAGTAAAACACAGCAGAGACAGGACAACAAAGGGCTGGGAATGTGGTTTAGTGGTAGAGTGCCTGCCTAGCATGCATGAAGCCCCAGGCTTGATTCCTCAGTACCACATAAACAGAAAAAGCTGGAAGTGGTGCTGTGGTTCAAGGGATAGAGTGCTAGCCTTGAGCAGGCCAGGCCCTGAGTTCAAGCCCCAGGCCTGATGGGGAGGGGAGGGGAGGGGAGAAGAGAAAGGGGGGGTGTGAAGAAACAAAAAGCCAGGTGTAGTTGTTTATGCCTATCCCAGTTACATGGGAGGCTGAGAGTGGGACCAGCCTCAGGAAAAAAGTTAGCAAGACTTTAAGAGAAACAGCCGGTGGTACTGGTATAGCTTGTCATCCCTGGTAGGAAGGAAGCTCAAAAGATCGAAATCCAGGAGTCTGGGTAAGGCAAGAACCTATCTTAAAATAACCAGCGCAAAAAAAAAATCTGGTCCTAGAGTGCCTAGTAAGCACAAGGCCCTGAATTCAAACTGCATTACAAGAAAGGGGGAGGCAGAGAGTGAGCAAGGGAAGGGAGGAAAAGAGGGAGAGGAAGGAAGGCGAAAGCAAACTCAGTTATCCAAGAAAAGGGAAGGGGGAACAAACCCTTCCCATACCCTCTTGCGACAAAGTAGGTACAGCAGGTGTTTGTGTTGTATTTTTGAGAGGGTTGTGCTGTATAGCTTAGACTGGTCTGGACTGCAACTGCTTCAGCCTCCTAAGTGCTAGGATTACAGTTAAAAGGCTGGATTTCTTGGTAAATTGCATGAATATGTACTGGCAAGGAATCACCTGGTATTGTTAAGTCCCTATGGGATCCATACTGAGGCTATAGATCTATGCAAGTTTAGTGACAGTGTCTCACCAATATTCACAATTCCATATGACTATCTGCCTCAGGTCCATTTAGGGGGGAGGAGTCTCAAATCCATCCAATACCACAGAAGTAGTCTTCCCACTAAAGCAAGGACTATGCAGATGAGGAAAGAGACTTGGTTAAGGGCACGAATTCTGTAAGCCCTTTTTGCAACAGAAGTTTGGAGAACTGCAGAAGCTGCTGCTGCTGTCTCCTAGAATGTCTAGTGGGCTTGGCTATCGTGCAGCCTGCTGTTGTGGCCTGCAGAATTTCACTCCACTGCTTCAGTGGCCTCCTCACCACTACCTGAAAGCTCCTCACCCGACTCTTCCTCCAGTACACAACTTCTTGTGACAGACTTTTGGATAGCTTCCCGCTCACCTGGAGAAAGGCACAGACAGGGATGAAAGATGCCTTTGGGAGTGATTTCTTAGCTGAGACTCAGTCACTGCTCATTGGCCTCTGTTGCTTACCTTCATCAGTGCAGTTCTGTAACAAGATCAACAGCTGCCTCCTGTTGTACTGAATCAGGAACTTCTGACAGGTTCTAATTGTACCTACATGAAAGTTTTTGTCATCAACAGCCTGTGAAAAGGCTGTCTTTCAGAGGTAGGGGAGTTTGTGGCTCTCAGTGGGATGGACTGTCCCAACTACCCTAATCCATCAAGATTGATCTCTGAACCAATCACTAAAAATGACCCATCATGCCACGCCTACCTCCCACGTGTAATGTGTTGAAAAAGCAAGGATAACGGTGTCCTTTGTTCTCCAAGTACGTGATGAAGGGAAGGGCTGACCACACAAGCTGGTAGAATTCCTTTCGGCATCGAAGCAGCACTATTCCAGTATAGGCATTCAGGTACCGAACTGTAGCAGGAAGAAAAAGGCATTTTAGAAAACTGGATTCACAAAATCGCACTTAAATAAACCTTGGGAGAAACCTACTACATGCAAAAGCTGCTCTGAGCAAGTAAGTAAAAAAACCATTCCTGAAAGCTGGCGGTTCATGCCTGAAATCCTAGCTACTCAGATGGCGGGATGAGGACTGCTGTTCTGAGCCAGCCGAGGCAGACTAATCCAATGAGACTCATCTCCAGTTAGCTAGCCAAAAAGCCAGAAGTGTGTGTATCTCAAGTGGCTAGAGCGCCACCTGTGGGAGCCCAAGGCCTCGAGTTCCAAGATTACTGAAAGGAATAAGAAAAAAAAAAAATTGGACAAACCATCTGTGGAGACAATGGTTGTACAACTTAACTGGTGAATGAATTTAAAACATTCAGTCACTGACTAGCCAATTCAATAAACAGGACCAGAGACATCCATCTTCGTTCAAGAAAAACCAAACTATTGTCTGGCAGCCCGATAATTTATTCTTCAGGATTTAAGTCTGAGTTTAGGTAAAGAGGAAACAAAAGTATAGCAACTGGGGGAATTGCTGGGGGTGGGGAGAGGGCCTTTACCTTGGCTAGGCTTGCATTTAAGTACAAACAATCTGGTGTTCTGTATGGCTCAGGGCTTTCCGGCCTTTGTAAGTTTCACCATTTGTCACTGGTCAAATACTGCCTCTTTATCCTGAACTATTAACTGCTTCCCCCAATTGTCCGATCAAGTTCATTCCCAACCTGCAATAATGCAGACGTCAAACGGGTACAGGAAAGTTTCTGATGATGTTGAAACTGCCCAATGTCGGCATCAACTCGGTCTCCCGTCTGGAGTTCCAGTCCTGGTTGCTAACAACCGTCACCAAGGGAGGATCAAGGTGCCCGGGCTTGGCCGCCCTTCTTTCCGGCTCCCTCCCCAGCCCCGCAGCCCCGGCCCGGCGCCCTCACCCGCGAAGCCGATCGAGCTGGCGGCAGCGCCGAAAGTCCCGTGCACCCGGGCGACGGTGTCCCGTACGAGGACGCTCAGCACTCGGTCGTCCAGGCTTAGGCGGCAGCGGGGGTCGTCGGATACCAGTTCGCAGAGCAGATACCTGCGGCGGGCAACAAGCGCGAGGTGAGCGCGAGCCGGGGCCGCCGAGGATCCGGGAAGACCGGGAGCCTTGCTTACTTACCTGTGCTTGAAACGCACCATGGCTGCCGGCGCGTTCGCGGCTTCCGGGAGCGCACGCCGGATGTGGGTCCCGCCCCCTGACCACCCAGGGCCAATGAGAAGTTTGCCTCCACAGGCTTGCAGCCACTCAGAGGTGGAGGCGGGGGTAAGGGGCGGGGTTAGAGTTGAGAGGCTCATCCTTGCGTCAGTCTCTTTCAAGCCCCGCCCCCGCAGGCGTTTGCTAGCGCGCAGGCGCCTTTCGGAGACCTCTAAATTTAGTTGTTGGGGAAGTTGACTGGCTGGACGGTGTTTGTGATGGTGGGAGGTTCTGTTCCGCGCCGGCGTTTACCTCAGTGTCCGGCGTGCAGCCGCTGCAGCAGCGCTCAGCCCTCCGGACCTTGCAACGCTGTTGTGGCTGCAGTTTGCATTGATTCTCTCCTCAAGTTGGAACTTTAGAGGCCCAGATCCTGCGCTTGAAGCCCCCGGATTGTCAGCGGGGGAAGTCGGGCTGCTGCGTGCAGGTGAGACCCGGTTCTCTGATGTAGACGCAAATATGCGCCTTGTTACTCTTCGGGCCTTTTCACAGGGTCTTATGGAGGTGGGTGTTTTCCTCGCTTTGAGTTACTGCCACAAGCCTCTGGGGTGCTGTATCTCCCTCCCGCCTCCCTCTCCCCCCTGACTCTGCCTTCGGAGTGCTGGGATTACAGGCATCCACTTCCATACCCTGCTTCCAGTTTTGTATGTTTTATCAGAAAAACAAAAAGAAGCAAATAAAAATGGATTGCAATTCCACCACCAAGGGATAATAATTGTCATTTGGGCTGTTTAGACTTTAAAATTACTTCTATAATACTGAGAACCTGGGCACTGGCGGTTCAGGCCTGTAATCCTAGCTACTCAGGAAACTGAGCTGAGGATGGCTATTCCAAGCCAGCCTGGGCAGACCAGGCCAGGAGACTCATAGCTCTAATTAACCAGTAAAAAGCTAGAAGTGGCACCGTGTGGTTCGGATGGTAGAGCACCGGACTTGAGTGAAAAAAGCTAAACAAGAGTGTGAGGCCCTCAGCTCAAATCCCAGTACCAGCATTCACACAAATAATAACAAAAGGTTAATAAAATAATAATAAAAGTAATTAAGGGCTGAGAATGAGGCTTAGTGGTAGAGTGCTTGCCTAGCACGCATGAAGCCCTGGGCTTAATTCCTCAGCATCACATACACAGAAAAATCTGGAAGTAGCACTGTGGCTCAAGTGGTAGAATGTTAGCCTTGAGCAAAAGAGGCTCCGGGACAGTGCACAGGCAGGCCCTGAGTTCAAGCCCCAGGACTGGTAAAATAATAATAATAATAATGACAATAATAATTAAAAGGTTGTTTTCCTTTTTTGTTCTCTCAGTGTGGACACTAATGTTTTCTAGAACCTGTATGGCATATGATCACAGCGTTGCTCTGACTGCTAATGGAATGTTGTATTATTATTTATTTATATATTTTTGGGTAGGTTGTAGAGCCTGTGCTTTTTCTTACTTTGTAGACTTCTAGTGGACTCAAACCAGTGTGGGCCTTGAGACACCTTTTACATCTGATAATTGGCATCTTCCTTCCTCCCACAGTTGTCATTCCAAGGAGAGAAGGGGAGGAGGCTGTGCTGTGGCCCAGCTGAGGGACTAGTGACCCCTCTTTTTCTTCTCACCCTGACATCCCATCCCATCCTTACCCAGAAACACTGTGGCTACCTGGTTACACAGAAACACTGCCTCCTTTGGCCGGCAGGGGGTGCCAGAGACCCAGAGAGAACTCCAGACCCAGCCTATCAACACCCTTAACACTTTCCACTGCCTTTCACTGAACCTGAATGCTGCGTCCGTTTTATTGATGCCTTTGGGACCCAGACTAGAGTTATGTATCCAGATAGGAGCAGAGTTCAAGCCCAGAAAGAGACTTCCGATTACTGCAGTCGGTGAGGTTCCTGTCCTGGACCCAGCTTCACTGTCCAATGAGTGTTAATAAAACAGAGGCAAAAAACGTGGGTTCAAATCCCCCAGCCGCCCCTTAGCCAGGTGCTATCGGATTGGTGAATTCAGCCCCCCATTGACCTCAGCTTTCCGACAGCAGCCCCTGATTACCAGGAATTAGTAGGTGAGCTTGAAGCCTTGCACAGTGAGTGCTGCTTTGAAGGAATGATTTACTCCTGGGTGGAAGGAATGAAGGAATGATTCACCCCAGGGTAGAGGGAATGAGTGATTTGCTCCAGAGTGGGGAGGAATAAATGAATGAATTGAGGAATGAATGAATGAATGAGTGAGTCATCCAGGGCGGAGGAGGGAGGCCGGGCGGAGGCGGGCCGGCGGGCGGGGCACCCTCTCTCGTAGTTAATTAGCCGGCAGGCTCTACTCCTCCACCCGCTCATTACCGGCCTCCTCCGCCGGCCGGCGGCTGTCTGCGGTCACCCGGCTCCCCGGGACCCGCCGGGGAGGTGCGGCGGGGCGGGCCGGGACGGTGTGCGCGCCCGCGGTGCCCGTCCCCGGGTGTGTGGACGCGCGGAGGGGATCGTGGTGCACCTCGCCCAGTGCGCTCTCGGCCGATGCTGCCCAGGCTGGACTCGGGCCGGTCTGATGCATCCCAGCCTGTGCCCATGGGGATCGTGGCTGGTGTGGCTCGGATTCCGGTCGCCTGGACACCACGCGGGCACCCACTCCACGGGCTGGGGGCCTGGCGCCGCCCGCCCGCCCTCCCCACGGGGAGGAGACACCCACGGGGATCAGAGCCTCCTCCCCCTACCTGCAGAGCTGCCGTTCGGAACACTGTCACGGAACATGAGTCCTCGCACGCACAGACCCCTGTGGGTTGGGGTTGTGTTTTTGCGCTGGTACTAGGGCTTGAACTCAGAGTTTGGGTGTTGTCTCCAAGGGTTTTTTTGTTTTGTTTTGTTTTCTGTTCTTTTTCCCTCAAGGCTGGCACTCTGCCATTTGAGCCACACCCAGCTCCACTTCTGGCTGCGTTGGGGTGCTTAATTGGAGATCAGAGACTCTCACACTTTCCTGCCTGGGCTGGCTTCAAATTTCAATCCTCTGATCTCAGACTCGTGAGTAGCTGCAACTACAGGTGTGAGCCACCAGTGCCTAGGTTGGTCCCATCTTTCTCTGAGGCTGGGGAAGGGAAATGACTAGCCCCTGAACCTGTGATCTTATCACCTCCTTCCTGAAACCTTATTCCAGGGATCCTGATCTAGGAAGATGTTTGAGGAGGGTGTGTGTGTCTGTCTGTCTGTCTCTATCTATCTATCTATGTGTGGTGTTGAGGATCCACCCCAGGGTCTCTCATACCCCAGGCATGCATTTACCACCGAATTACAATCCCAGCTGCCCTTTTTGCAGCTGCCTGTGGCATCCAGGAAGTCCTTTCCAGAGCCTGGGTCTACCACCAAGATGATGACAGCGGAAAATCATATCTGCTTCAACATTTAACAAAGCAGCCACTGCTCATTAAGGGCTCCCGTTCCTCTAATCCTATCAACCCAATTTTCCTCTGGAAAAAAAAACCTCTGTGGGGACAATCGAGATAAAATTAAGCCCTCCATCTGCTTGGCCAGGAGCCTGGGGAGTTGCCCCATCCTCTAGGTTGCTAGTGCCATTTCAGCCCTTCCCAAACTTCAGAGACAGTTCCCTACAGACCCCCCCCCCCCCCACATGCTAGTTTTCACATACTTTGTGAACTTTTCCCGCCCCTCGCTGCTGCTGATTGGCCTATACAAAAGTTCATTGACTTTTCTGTCCTGATTGGCTGCAAACTTCTATCTCAGTCTCCTGAGTAGCTAGGATTACAGGCATGAGCCACTGGTGCCCAGATACAACCTGTGATCTTAATCATAATCCTATGGAGAATTCCTCAAAATGCCATTGATTGTGGTTATTATCTTTGGGGAGAGAAATTAAAAGTAGGAAGTAGGAAGAGGAACTCCCCCCATGTCAAAGTTTCAATCAGAGTCTCATTGTTTGCTTGGCTAGTCCTTAGCCACTTGAGTCATGGCTCCAATTTGGCATTTTGCTGGTTAATTGGAGATGGAGTCTTAGCCATCTGAGCAATTAGGATTTTAGGCATGAGTCACTGGCACCTGGCAGGAGTTGCCTCTGTGTGTGTGTGTGTGTGTGTGTGTGTTTCTGTGTCTGTGTCTGTCTGTCTGTCTGCCAGCCCTGAGGCTTGAGTCTGGGGCCTCGGTGCTGTCTCTGAGCTTTTTGCCAAAGGCTAGCACTCTACTATAGCTTCCAGCTGGCTTTGAACCAGGATTCTCAGGTCTCAGACCCCTGAGTAGCAAGGATTACACGTATGAGCCACTAGTGCCCGACTTAGGTGGGATCTTTGAGTGGGATCAGTATCCTTGTGAAAGGGACCAAAAAAAATCTCTTGCCCCCTTTCTGGCCATATGAAAACACAGTAAGAAGGTAGCTGTCTATGTTCCAGGAAGCGACTCTCAAGAGACACTAACTGCCATACCTTCATTCTGGACATTCTAGAATCCAGAACTGAACAGTGAACAACAAATGTTGGTTAAGCTACCCAGCTTATCGATTTTTTTTCTTGGCAATACCAGAGTTTCAATTTGGGCCTTGCACGTGTTTGTCTTGCTTGTTCATCTGTCACAATACCACTTGAGTCATACCTCCTGTCTGGCTTTTTGCTAGTTATTTTGGAGATGGAGCCTTTCCAGACTATTCTGCCTGGACTAGCTTGGAACTGTGACCCTCTAGATCTCAGCCGATTACAGTCATGAGCTATGGTGCTTGGCTTTGCACTGGTTATTTTTTTTTGTTTTGTTTTGGTTTTGTTTTTGGGTCCGGTCATGGGGCCTGAACTCTGGGCCTGGGCACTGTCCCTCAGCTCTCCAGCTCAAGGCTAGCACTGTACCACTTGAGCCACAGCACCACTTCCGGCTTTTTTCTTTTTGCTTATGTGGTGCTGAGGAATCGAACCCAGGGCCTCATGCATGCAAGGCAAGTGCTCTACCACTGAGCCACCTTCCCAGCCCCTGCACTGGTTATTTTTGAGATAGGGTCTTGCTTCTTCTCTAGGCTATGTCTGAGCTG